TTTTTTTCAGCTCTATTATTTAAGGAAACTTCAGGATCAATATATAGCAATGTTTTTAGATGTTTTTCACAATTTTAAAAATAGCACAAATTTAAATGTAAGGATAATCAGATACACCATATTATATACAGATATATGAAATAAATATATCACCTATGAACACATATGAAATGAAAGCAAAAAAACCATGAAACAACTGTTTTTCATGTATCTAATTTGTAATACCCTTGAGTGATAGTTAAAACCACAAGAAAATCTGATACTGTGTCATATTTGAAAAAGTTCAAAAACAATCCAAATTACATGAACTCTTTACACCTTCAATAAGTGGCTCCCAATTCCTACAGCATTGACTTTATCCAATACTATCTAAATTCTAACCTTGTTACTCACCATTTTAATCCGAAGCAACCTGCCCTTTTTCATCTTACTTTTAGTCCTTAAATTGACATACCACTCCAGTTTCCTTTCTCCAATCTGGGCTCCCTTCTCCAACAAAATCTAGTACTGCTTCCAACAAAACAACCACATGTAAACAACTCTCTAGTTAGATTTTGTCCTTAGAAATTCCAATCTCAATGTTGTACCCTATGAGCAACCTAGGCAGAAAGCTAATTGTTATAAAATCATGTACTTAACTATAATTTGTGATTTATCATAGTTTACACACAGAAAGAACCACTGCACACAGCCAGTATGGAGGAAGAAACCAATCACTTACATTGCTCATGTACTCTGAAAGCAGGTCCTGGAGAGCCTGACGAATAGCATTGCATTCTGCAATAATCCTCTCTCGGTGGAAATCCCTTGTGCATGAAGAATCAGCCAACAGAGCGGCCCCACTGATAATGGCTTCAAGACGTTTCTCTAGTGATGGTCTTATTTCCTCTTCTGTCACTGTGAGCGGATCCAAGACAATTAAATTCTAAAAATGAATAAATTTTGATGGTTAGAATTCTACTGAATTAGTTTTCACAGAAATAAATATTTTATTTTCACATTTACAATTAAGATGTGAACATAAAAAGAAAAAAAAATTACTACCTTAACTGGTTCACACATAAGTCTACACAGCAAATCACTATACAGGTGAGTGGCAAAAATTATACAATTATGAGTAGTAATTTCTACTATCATACAGCTCTGGATTCTAATCTTATTGTCCCACTCTCATGGAATGGGCTCACTGACATGATGTATACCCTCTGATCCTCACTTTTTAAGTTGTAAAATTGAAGTATTAATAGTGCTTGACTAATAAAACTTTTAAGGATGATATGAATGCTTAATACAGTGACTGGCACATATTAATTATTATTAATAATAGTCAACTTTATGAAGAGCTTCGCTGTTTACTTTCATATATATCATTTCAGCCTGACACTTCTATAGGTAGACATACAGCAAAGACTGTTAATTACATATTTCAGTTAATATTGAGAGACACTGAGACTATTGTTCAGTGTCACCATGTGGTTAGGAAGTGAAGCTCAGATAAGTGTTCAGGTCTTACATTACCTAATTCATTGTTATTTTTATTTACCTCACTATAATCACACATATAATGCAGTTAATCTTAACTTTGACCTACATAATGAATTCCTAACTTTATTCACTTAAAAAAATTAAACACCATGGTCCTATTGATCTATTATACTTTCTAGCTATTTTCTGCTATTGAAACCTTTTCTTTTTTTTCTGAATTGCATCATTTTCTATTGAGGTAACATTATTTACAACACTGTATGTGGCTTAAGGTACAGTGTAGGTTCAAGTAACTATTTTCAATAGATGTAGAGAAGGGATTTGGCATGGTTCTGTACATGTTTTTGATTAAAAAAACAGCAAAATGTAATAGGAGAAATATACTTCAACATAAAGATCATACATGTCTAATACAGACTGGTTATTCCTAACACATGTATTTCTCAATGGTGAGAAATGAAAGTTTTCCTCTATGATTAGGTATACAATAGGATGTCCACTCTCATTATTACCGAACAACAAAGTATTCGAAGTCCTAGCTAGAGTAATTAGGCTACAGATAGTTAGTAAAAGAAATCCAAATTGAAAATGAAATAAAATTATCACTATTTGCAGATGACATGACAATTTACATAAAAAAAACTAAAAGATCTAGTAGAAACTATTAGAAACAAAAATTAGTAATGTGGCATGTTACAAAATCAATTTACAGAAGTCTGTTGCATTCCTATGTCCAAGTAATGAACTACAAGAAAATGATAAAAAAACCAAACTCATTTACAAAAGTATAACAAAGGAAATGAAATAATTACTAATGAAAAATATACCACATTGTTAAAAAGAAATATAACAGCCAAGGAAATAGTAAGGTATTCCATACTCATGGGTTGGAAGAATTAACACTTAAAATTACCATCTTGCCTAAGGCAATATATAGACTCAATGCAATCCCTATCAAAGTTTCCATAGAATTATTCAAAGTATCAGACAAACATTAATGAATTTTATGTGGAACCAAAAATTGATCCCAAAGAGTTAAAGAAATCTTGACAAAATAAATATGAATGGAAATATCATGTTCCCAGACTTCAAGCTATACTACAAAGCTATTGAAATCAAAACAATATGGTGTCAGAATTAAAATAGACTCACAGACCCTTAGAATGGAACTGAAAATACAATAATAAATACAAATTTATGTGAATAGTTAGCTGATGATAAAAAAGACAAAAGTATACAATGGAGAAAAGAAACTCTTCAACAAATGGTGATTAGAAATCTAGAAAACTACATGCAGATGCTAAAACTAGAACACTCACCATAGAAAAAAATAAGTTAAAGTTAACTAAATACTTTTAATCATGGCCCACAAAAATATATAGAAGAAAACATATGCAAAGCACTCCATAGCATTGACTTCAGGGATAACTTTAGGGATTATACTCCAATGGCAAGAAAAACAAAAGCAAAAATAAATGAGTGAGACTACATCCTATACAGTGGAAGAAAATAATACTGAAACCAAAAGACACCTATAGAGTGTGAGGAAATTTTAGCACATCATATATCAGATAAGGAACTGGAGCCTAAGGGCTATAAAAACATACAACTCAAAAAGAGAAAACAAAGAACTCAATTTAAAAAATGACCCAAAGAACCAGAGACTTCTCCAAAGAAGATATACAGAGACCAACAGACACATGAAGAAGTGATCATCACTTATTAGGGAAATACAAATCAAAACCACAAGGAGATTGTACCTGACTCAGCGAAAATGGCCAACATCCAAAAAAAAAAAAAAAATCAGAAATCAGATATTGGAAAAGATGTGAAGAAAATAAGGCTTCATATACTTTTAGTGACTGTAGACTGGTCTAGCCCCTATATAAAATACTATGGAGGTATCTCCAAATGTTAAAGCCAAATCTAGTATGTGATCCAACAATTCCACTCCAAGTTATTTACCCAAAGAAAACCACAAATCTGAAGGAGTATATGCACTGCTACATTCACTGCAACACTATTCAAAATAGCCAAGTTAAGGAAACAACCTGTATGCCCATTGACATAGCAATGAATTAAGAAGGTTTGGTATATACAAACAGTAATATACTACTCAACTGTAAACAAGATGAAGTCTACTTGCAACAACAAAAATGAAACTGGAGATTATGCCAAGTGAAAAAAGTCACTAGAAATATGAATACATAATTAAAGCTAATAGATGGGAAGGTGTGAGGTGGAAAGGAACAAACGAGTGATGAGGCCCAATGGTCTACAGTAAAAGACTATGGGTGCTTTGACAGTGATATTTAGGATAATGTGGCAACATGTATTTGAGGCAGTATGAACCAATTTCCCTAAATCATGTGCAGAAATGTAAACCAAAGTCACTTTAATAAAGAAAAGAAACACATATAATTTAAAAATAAAAATAAAGCAAGCCCCAAGGAGTTTCTTTAAAGGTAATCTTCCTTTCTCCCCTACCAATATCCTTACTCTCTGGCATTACATAAATAACACAATATAGTCTGATCCTATAAGTACACTCCGTAATGTCAATACCAGCCCTAAAAGAGAAGAAAGGGGGTGTGCCATCCAGAGCACTGTCTTCTTACCAGTGACCAAGCCTTTGGGGAGCACCCAGAAACTCCATATTGTTTTTCCTTGATGTATAGTACATTAATCTACTATTTTCAATCTGTCAACTCCAAGAACCCTGGGTGAGTCAGCAACCCACCACCTATATCCCTTAACCTGAACCACAGAACCCAGTAATTTCTCTGTGCTCATCTCCCATGTAATGAAACATGACCCTACTCTGTGTCTCTTATGTACAGTGTTTGGTCTCTGATGTCACAATGGTATCCAATTTTTAGGTGTAGTGGAATTAGTGTCCCTATGATTGTCAGATATTCTTTTGGAGGGAGGCAAGGACTTTTTCTATCGTTATCTTCATGAGGTTACTTTTGTGTGATAGGCTATTATTAATATTTCCATTAGAGATAAGTCTTCAGGCAATAGAAGACAAAATAATCTACAGTCTCTGAAGAGAAGATGGAGAGTAAGAGATTATATTTCTTCATTAAAAACTTCAGAAGAGGAATTCTATTCCAGTTCCAGGCATAGTGGTAATTGGAAAAAGAGTTACTACCATATAGAAGCTCTGTTAAATCTTCATAGAAAATGAAATTAAAACATATCTTCTTCAGAGTACATAAACTTATATATGACATATATATATATATATATATATATACACACACACACACACACAGAGAGAGAGAGAGAGACATACACACAGAAAGGGAGAGACAAGCCCAGAGATAGAGACACAGAGAGGTATATGAATATTGTAGATATGTATGTTATATAAGCATGTATAGTAACAAATATTTGTATAAGTACAATCTTATACTTAGCATTGTAATATAATAATTTGTGGACCCATACATAGCCACTTCAAAACTTTAAAAGCTACAACTCTAAGGCCAAACTAAAACAAGGGAGAATTCATTTTAAAATAACTAGAAAAAAAATGATTCTGTGTAATGTTTATATATTATATGATGTAGTGTAAAATATGAACTAGAAGTTTTTTACTATGTCATTCTTTGGTTCACTAATTTAGTACAAACTTTCCATTCCAATGTTTCATAACAGCAATTAAAACCTTTTTGAAAATGTCTCTCCAATGTAGCATCATTAAGTAAAGACACTAAAGATAACAGAATTACTCTGATTACTCAAATGCAATTAGAAGATGTGATAGAAACAGCTAGCTGGAGATAATGTCTCCAACATTATCATGATAGAAAACTTGATTCAGTTTTAAATCTGTTCAACTATGTACTGTTAGAAAAAAGTAATAATTTTAGGTGTTCTGACTGTATTTTCAAGTCAGAACACAATCTACAGTAGGATCAAGTTCACATCAACCCTTGTTCCACAAGGTCATTCCCCAAAATGTCCTAAGTTATGGAATTCTACATGCTTCATCTTTAAAACTCTCAGATTCTTTAAGTTCATCTGAACTCAAACCATCATTTACTCATCTACTCTGACAACTTATAGTTGTCAATAGGTTTTATGATGCTGTCTAAAACTAGGATCCTATAACAGCTTTCACTAGCCTTGTATCATATCAATAAAAAGGTGAGTTTTTTTTTTAAGATTTATTTATTTGTGCATACAGAACTGGGGTGCAGGCCAGAGGCTCAGGGTCAGTGAGAGGCTTCACCAGAGACAGAGCGGGGAACAGAACAGGCAGATGGACGAAGTACACTGCTAAGGGGAGCAGCGGGCGGGCCAGGAGAGGTCTGCCACGCCATGTGGTCACCTCCGGGGCAGGCGGGAATCGAACTCATGAGGAAGCGGCTTTAGATTCTCAGTGCTGTGCTTTAACCCGCTGCGCCACCAGGGAGGGCCAAAAGGTGAGTT